TTGTTACAAACTAACCTTAATGCCCAGTACAAGTGCTGATTAAAAAAGGTCGTTATCTTTGCCAAGGCCGTTCATGACATTGTGTCATCCATCTGTTACATTTTTTGTTAAAGGTTCAGTTGTCTACAAGAAAGTAAAAAAAAGTTGAGTTAAATTATTGCTGTTTTATTCTGTTTAGATTGTAAAAGAAAAGAGACAGTTTTAAGCATGTTGATGGGATGAGTCTTGTGTTTTATTTTATTTCAAACCCTGTTTTATTTGCAGTGCATTCTTTCTGTATTTGTCCTTGCAAACGATAATAGAAAACATTGCAACAGTTAACTACAGATTTCAGACACTTCATGTTCCAATTTATTTTTTCTCAAAATGCATCATTTTGGCTTCTTTCAAGAAAACAAACAAATAAATGAACTACTAATAATGATATGAACAAGTGAATGAAAGCAGAAGTTTTTTTTTCTTTATAGTTTAGCCCACATTGCTTTGTAAATGACAATCATTTTTAAAAAGCATTATTAATTAATTAAAGTTGTTTCTTATTCAGTGAATAATTATTGATTTAACCTTTTTTTTAATGTCAGTGAGGCCATCAGCATTTTTCTGTCTTGTGCTTATGTTATGATTTACCAGGTTGAGATATCAAATCAGAGTGTAAATACTTCACTTTATGAAAGTTTTTTTTTTTTTTTTTTTTTTTTGCAAAATTAATATTCTGAGAAAAAGTCTGCATTACTGATTAATCTTCTACAAGGATATTATTTATGATGATGATGTTTTCCCTGGAGAGGTCAGAGCATAAATAGCAGACATTTCTCACCAAACTGGTGACTTATGTTTAATATCCTGTTTGATTAAAATGTTAGTGTTTGTGGTCTTAGAAAGATTGTAGTAGGCGGTTCCAATCTTATCTTTGGTAGACAACTCAACTTCAGGGCTTATACATTGACACGCCCCGATGACCAAAGGCATGAAATAATTGTCATATCTCAGGTGGATCAGACTGACGTAGGTAGACATTTGGTGTATTAAGGTGAGGGCATAGGGTGTACCAGATTATGGTAATCTCCCTGTAATTTTGAACAAATTTATTTTATTTATTTTTCAAAGTAGAAAGTTTGATAGGAAATTTTGAATATTAGGGAGTTATGGTTTTTGTCAGACAATGTATTTTATATGTAATTTAAACTATAAATTTTGTAAATAAAACAAAAATGTTTGAAACAATTGAGCTATGCAAATAAAAGAAGAATTGATTGTTCTTTGAACAAATTTGAAAGAAGAAATTGCCTATGCAGGACACTGAATGTCGCATTCAGTAAATAAACCATCGGTATGCAGATGAGATTAAACAGTTCCCTCGCTGCACAGTGAGATTTCAATGTCCGTAATGTTACATGATTTACACAGTGAACACATTTATATATATATGGAACAGAGGCATTAGCCTGGAAATAGTGCCATCAATCTGGTTCTTTTACATACCATCTTTGTGATATGTCATTAAAATGGCATTATAGGGCAGGCTGAAGGTGAATTTTTTGCATTATGCAATGGAATCTTGACGGCAGATGGTGCAGTATTATTTTAGAAACTAACTGTTTGGTTGCTGTC